ACACACACACACACACACACACACACTCTCTCTCTCTCTCTCTCTCTCTCTCTCTCTCTCTCTCTCTCTCTCACTCTCACACACACACACACACAAACTATAATAGGAGAGCCCCCTAACAGGTGCCTCAGGATGCCACCTCATGAAAGTGCTCTCTGGTCTAGGCTTGACACAGCAAGAGGATGCTAAACATAAAGCTCTGGTTCTCCCTTTGAAGACCCTCTGGGTAGAGTTTGTAGATGTCAATGATGATAAGGATGACTGTGCTTCTATAGTCCTATTAACAATCATTTCCTTATTCAACCAATATGCAGTGTGTGGAAGGTCTGTTGTATGCCAGGCACTAGGATGAATGGTCTCATATTTAATTCCCCCTCCCAATATAAGGTGTTTTTTGTTTTTGTGTTTTTTCTCTTATTTTGATGAGCAAACTGAGACAAGAGGAAACTCAGACTTGTCAAAGGCCATTCAGTGATTCCTGTCACTGCCAGGACTAGGGGTTTTGAACTCTTGACAAGAGTTATTCTTCAGTCTACTAGTTTATTTTTAGGTGTTAACCTAAAAATGGGTCTGGAAATAGCCCAGCTTGTTTCTTCGCTTCCTGGGGCACAGATTTGAAGAACCAGTGGTATCTGTAACCCACACAGCCATTTGAGTAGCAACAGATTTTGGCTATTGTCCAGAAGTATGTCTGTGCAGAGTAGCAAGCCAGGGCCACAAGTGTTGACTTGGGCCTTGGGCCAGAGCCTCTATGTGTTTTTCTAAGAGGCCCCTGATTGTAAAGATTATTGCCATCACTGAAATTATTCAAAGGGGACAACCTGAGTAGGAAGCAGGAGCTGCCACCCCACCTAAGTGTGCTCTGCCTCCTGGAGAGGAGGAGATGGGATAGAGAAATGACAGAATAGCTGTGGAGCTAACTTCACATGCTACAGAGAATGCCCCATTGTGCACCATCATTACATGTTACTAAGCCCCTGCTAGGTAAGTCGTTTTTAAAATCTATTTCTTTGTTAGAGCTTTATAGTTCTTCATTTAGTGCCTGTCTCAAAATAAGTTAAACTTTGTCATTTGAACCTCTTGTGTCCAATTGAAGTACTTTTTGATTAGTCTTTGATCATTTGTGCACACACCCATGCTTATCTTGTGTCAGCTCTGAAATGAAAGCTCCATTTATAATTTTTTAATAGCCCAGTGCTTCATTTTCCAGTTTAATAATGTACCATTGTTCAAGTCAATACTGAGCTTCCTAGATTAAGGTCTTGTCCCGGAAATTGGGGCGAGAGTAAGGATTGAACCTGTTGAATGAGACAGGAAGTTTCTTCTGACAAAGCGTTCTGATTCACCACTTTATCAGCTTTCCCAAGGTTTGCCAACTTACCTAGAATCCAGCTATTTTTATTTCTAGCCTCATTCTGCCATCTGAATCCTGAGGTGAGGTTCCCAATAGTGAAGGGCCTTAAAATCTAGAGGTGCCAAGGCTTCCCAAGGTTCGTCGAGGATATGATTGAGTCTGGATGCTGGACTCCTCAGTGGTTTCTTGCTTCCTTTGAAACTCTGGCTGTCTGGAGACTGGCCAACTAAAGCCTTGCAGCCCTATAGAGATTGCTGTAACTATGAGTAATCAGGCCCCAAGCCATTTCCTCCCCAGCTCTTACTTGATTGTGTTCCATTCTTTCCCTAGAGAGAGGGTGAGATTGCTAATTCTAAAAGGTAGAAGAACATCACCTTTTCTTCTGCCACCCTACACCAGCCTAGGAGTCCACCCTCGGCTTGATAGCTGATGTACTTAGTGCAATGTTTTCTAATCTGCCAGATTCTGAGCTCTCTACCCACAATAGCAAAACAGTATCTGGGCCTTCAGGAGAGGCTGGAGAGGGAGAAGAGTAGCTACTGGTTGAGGAGTTTGCTGGCACCTGATTAGCTAGACCTGTCCACACTTGTGGCTCCTAAGCAGACAAAGAACAGGCAGGACTTGTCTTCCATTGAGTCAACACAGTGCAAGCCCTTGAAACCATCAGCATCAACCTACTTTCAAAGCAGCAGAGTTGGAATTGACCCACAGAAGTGATGTGACTTCCCAAGGTCTCTCAGCTGAGTTGGTTCACAATCCTAGAGTTCTTTGGTGGAAAGTGTCCTCTGAAGAGTGCCACTGGTTCAAGGCCAGAGACGCTGCCACTTAGTAAGCAGCCTTGATCTAGTGACTGTGCTAAAAGATTGCACAACTCCACCCTGTGGGATAATTTATGCCTTTTGCATTTTGTGAATTTGGCAGGAACATCAAAGCACTCTTCATGGAAATGGGCTCTGGCACTGGACAGCAGGTGGCTCAGTGGCTTGAATTGTGGGCTGCAGTCACAGGGCTGGGTCCACAGCCTGGGTCTCTTGCCTTCCTGTCTGCTCCTCTGTGCAGTGGGATGGCAGTAACAGTGCCTATTTCCTAGGGTTATTTTGAGCATTAATGGTGTCATGCACATCATCCAATGCACAGCAAACACCCATGCTTGCCTTTTAAGGTTCATCAGCCTGAATGTGTGTCTTGGTCACTTATCTTCTGGTTTCAGCATGTGTATCCAACTCTGGGGGAGGTCATTACCACAGGGACTGCTGGGTTTTAGCTGGATTCCATAATAGTGTCTGAGGCAGATTTTTCTTATTGCCATTTTCCAGGTGAAACATACAGCTTTAATGAATTTATCTGGGTGCCTTCTGTGGGTTTATTTTGGGTAGTATTTTGAAAAGAAAATGGGGTTCTTGGCTTAGAAACTTAACACAGGGTGTGTGTGGAAACTACTTGAATCATGTGTTGAGGTGGAGGGAAGGGCCAGGCAAGGGAGGGGATAATAGTTCTGGGAGTCTGAATGAAGTGGAACAATGACTCAAGCTCTTCCAGAGAACAAAAGAACAAACAGTAGGTGAGGGTGAGGGCCATTGCTACCAGCAGGGCAAGAGGACACTGGAAATGCCTTTTTTTTTTTCTGAGACAGGATCTCTTGCAGCCTAGACTAGCCTCAAATTTATGTAGCTAAAGATGACCTGGAACTTTTTGTATGAGACGGGGTCTTCCTGTAGCCCCAGATGGCCTGGAACTTGCTATGTCCACCAGGCCGGCCTCAATCTCACAGAGATTCACCTGCCTCTGCCTCCTGGGTGCTGGGATTAGAGGCATGCACCACCACACCCAGCCCCTTTTTGGGGGTGGGGACTTTAATCCTTTTGCCTCCACCTTCCAAGTTCTGGGATTACATATGAGAATCACCTTACCAGTTTATGGTGCTGGGGATCAAACCTAGGGCCTCATGCATGCTAGGCAAGCACTCTACCTGAGCTTTATTTCCCAATCCCACTCAACTCTTTTTTTTTTTTTTTTAACAGCAAATGTATATGTTTGAATATTTTTTAACTTTCCTTGGCCATTTTGTGACCAGTTGCTGGTTGACAGCACCTCTGTAGATGGCCACAGAAGGGCCAGCTCTACTAGAAACTGTTCCTCCTTCCTGTTCGAGCAGTGATGGGGGAAGGTGCCAGCACTGACCTTTCTTCAGTTGTCTTTGACCAATAGCTTGGAGATGGAGGGTCAACATCAGATCCTTGACCTTTTAACTTTCCTTGGCCATTTTGTGACCAGTTGCTGGTTGACAGCACCTCTGTAGATGGCCACAGAAGGGCCAGCTCTACTAGAAACTGTTCCTCCTTCCTGTTCGAGCAGTGATGGGGGAAGGTGCCAGCACTGACCTTTCTTCAGTTGTCTTTGACCAATAGCTTGGAGATGGAGGGTCAACATCAGATCCTTGACCCAGGTACAAGTCAGGGAGGTAGAAAGGGAACACTTGAATTTGTTTAGTTCTTACTGGGTACCTGATACCACACTAGGCTTTTAATACTTATACAGTCCTGAAAAGTGGATACTATTTATCTTGGTTTTACCTTTAAGGAACAGGCTAGAGAGATTAAGTACCTTGCCTAAGGTCATAGAGCTAGGAAGGTGGCAGAGCAAAGATTCAAGCCCAGTTATGTATAATCCCAAAGTCCTTGGTCTCCCTGTCCTCCAAGCTGTTTCCTAATCCTAGAGTTTTTTCAAGCATTTTGATTTGGAGAAGTGGGGAGTGTGAAATATCTATAATCCAGAAAGACAGTTTTATTTTCTACATATGATGGGAGACACTGAATTTCTGTGAACTTCTGTTCATGAATGTAGGCTAAACTTTGCAACCTCTCCTGCCCCCATCTCCTCATTCTATAGGTTCTTTGGAATATGGTTAGAAGACTTGCTCAGAGTGCTTTCTGTTTTTGCAGAGGACCTGAGTTTAGTTCTCAGCACCCAGGTCAGATGGCTCATAACCACTTGTAACTCCAGTTCCAGGGGATCCAATGCCCTCTTCTAACCTCCACAGGTACCTGCATGCATTTGGGACACACACATACACATAATTTTTTAAAAAGATGTGATTTGTCTGTATCATAGTTTGCTAAATTATATGAATTCCACTTCAAGCTTTTGAAGGTAGGAGGGAAGATGACTGTCTCATTTATTGAATGCATGTGTGCATGCATGCATGTACAGATGTACACATGCTACTACCTGTGTGGACGTGAGGGATCTTGGGACCAAACTTCAGGTCATGCCTCTACCAATTCAGCCATCTTGATGCCCCAATTAAAAAAATTTTTTAAATCCTCTTGTGTGTATGTGGGTGGAGTACCTACTATGGGGTCAGAGAAAGTCTTGAGTGTCAGTCCTCACCTTGTTTTGAGGCAGGGTCTCTGGTTCCCTGCTACACACACCAGGCTAACTAGCCTGTGAGCTTCTGGGGTCTTGTTTCCACCTCCCATACTGCCATAGGAGCACTGGGATTACAGACACACAGCACTGAGCCAAGCTATCTGTGGATTCTGGGAATCTGAACTCAGGTTTTCACACTCATGCAGCAAATGCTTTACCCACTGAGTCATCTCCCCAATGCTGTTCTCAATTTTATAAACTGAAAAAGAGAATATAGGTTGAGCATTCCTAATCTGATATGCTCCAAAAGTCTGAAACTTTTTGAGTGCTGACATAATGTCAACAAGTGGAAAATTCTACACCATAAAACTTTGTTTCATACACAAAATTACTTAAAATATATAAAATTGCCCTCAGGCTATATAATGTATATATGAAACATAATGAATTCTTTGTTTAGACTTGGGTCCTGTCCCCATCTCATTATGTCTGTGCCAACATTCCAAATTCTGAGAATTTCAATCCCAAGCATTTTGGATAAGGGATATCACACTTGTCTTCTAAGCACTGTATCTTCACATCAGCTCTACAGGGATAAAGCTGGTGCTGTTCTGGCAGTGGAGACATGATCAGCCAGCCAGAAAGTGGTGAAGTTCACTTCCTACCAGAGTGGCCCTGGGCCTCTGCACCAGACATCACTGATTCTAGTTCTGGTTGCACATGGGTGACCTAAACTCTTATAGATACCTACCAAGTAGGATTGCTGTGCTTACTACATTTCACTGTTGCTAAATGAATAAAGCTCTTGCAGCAGGGCCTGTTACAGGGTCAGTGCTCAGCAAAGCAAATTTGAGCAGTTACTGGGCATCCTGGGTCTGCATGGACTTGCATTTTTTAAAAAAAATGTGTATGAGTGTTTTGCCTGCAAGTGTGTCAGTGCACCGTGTGTACAATGCCTGTGGAGGCCAGAAGAGGGCATCAGATCCCTGGAACTCAAGTTACAGACTGTTAGCTGCCAAATGGATGCCAGGATGTGAAACCCCATCCTCTGCAAGAGCAACCAGTGCTCTTAGCCACTGAACCATCTCTTCCTAGACTTGCATTCTTATACATAGCTTTGAGCAGGCAGTTCTTTAACCTGAGTGACACTTTCCATCATGTGGATGATGGTAATTCTCACCGGTTGCTGTGGATCAAATGAAATACAGGTGTCTTTCACATAGGCACATAATAAAGCCTACTGTCAGTTTTAGTATCCTGGGAAACTGAGTGATTTTAAAGCAAGCAGTTTGATTCCTGGAAAACTAGACACCCTTGAGTTAGTTAAGACCCCAGCTTTGGGAAGGGCCTGTTGGGTGCTTATGTCTCCACCTTTTCCATCCTCAGAGTACCTGTGATGGGGACCCCAGCTTCTGTGGTGAGTGAGCCACCCCTGTGGCAGGTCCCAGCAGAAGCCCGGGGCCGCAAGCAGGCATCAGCTAACATCTTCCAGGATGCTGAGTTGCTGCAGATCCAGGGCCTGTTCCAGCGCAGTGGGGACCAGCTAGCTGAAGAGCGGGCCCAGATCATCTGGGAGTGTGCAGGGGACCACCGTGTGGCAGAAGCTCTGAGGAGGCTACGCAGGAAAAGGCCCCCCAGACAGAACCACTGCAGCCGGCTCAGGTAGGTACCTGGGACCGGAGGGCTGAGGGAAGAGGCAGCAGGGATGCCTGCTCCGTAAAGTGCCTACTGTTCATGTTTATGTTGCTGAAAGGACCATACAGTGAGACTCTTATTGTTGGGGTCACATGACCCTGTAATTCCCCTTGGAAGAAGTGCCCAGTCAAAGCAACACCACCATATTTCACAGTAATTCTTGGCCAGGTAGGAGAGACTGGAAGGAAAAAGTAACTACCAGTAGCAGAATAAATGACGTTCAAAGGCAAGCCTGGTTAAAGCCTTGACCAGCATAGTAGAGAAATGGCCACAGTATGAACTGTGGAGATCCATAGTGACAAGCCTTGGAGACTTTGCCTTGAAATAACACCTGTCACCAGTCTCTGGCCATCTACCTCTGCCTATGTCATTGCCAGCCTGGGAGTAGTGAGCCTGAGGACTAAACTTATAACTACAGGGTTTCCCTCCAGGCTCCTCCCCTTAGGTCCTCTTTAGGTGCCAGTCTGAGATGGTGAGATGGTGAGTCTTCGCTGCTTACATCAGCAGTTGGGGCCTAGCCACTGGTGTCATTTATGCCTGACTTACAGTGCCATGAATGCAAGGTGAAGGTAGAGAGACCCATTTTGAGTGTCCCCATTCCCTGGCTGCAGCAAAGTTGGAAAGTTTCACCTAGTCACATAGTTCTCAGGGCAGAGATGATTGCATTTTACCCCAGAGTCTACTGTGATAAACTCAGTCTTCCTCCTGCTCTCCCTGTTGATACTGGCTTATCACACACTTGTTCCCAGCAGGGTGCCAGAGTCTGGTTCTACAATAACTGACCCACAAAGCAGTGCCACTGAAGTGACCTCCAGCGAGCAGTTTGGGAACTCCAGGAGGACAAGTGCCAGAGTCCACCGCAACTGGAATAAGCCAGGCCCCACAGGCTACCTCCACCAGATCAGACACTGATCCACACTGAGCCCTCAAATGGCAGCATCCTCTCCAGGAATCACAGGGATATTCCAAAGGGCCTAGGGAGGTGCATAAAGGAGACCAGGTAGAGCAGGGCCCTACCTGGGTTAATAAAAGTGGTCACAAGGCTGTTGTACTCAGTTCAGAACACAACTGTAGGCATCCACTTGGCTGTGCACTATGTGGGACCTGTTCTGAGCAAGGATATGCTGAGGCTACTCATGCCTCAGCCTTTTTTGACTTAAGGGTGTAGTTGGGCTGCATGACATTTCCCTGGGATAGAAGTGACAAGTACTCATCTCACCACTTCTGCTAATTGCCAGTTACTGTCACCATGATTTTTCATTTGATCGGCTGTGCCACACCCTTGTCCGTTGCAAAGAGAAAAATTGTTTAAGTAGCAAATAAAAACATTTGCATAAGGAACTGTGCGAGTCTGTTTCAGAAGGGAGAATCCAAAAACAGGCGTCTATCTTAGCCTGGTAACCCTGAGGTGAGGTTTTTTTCCTATTCTGGCTGTCTTTTCAAAGCAACAGGCTATATGCTCACCACCACCACCCTAGGCACAAAAAAAGGCAAGCCTGCCCTCTGGTGGTCAAGAAGAAAAGCTTATCCACCTAAATTTGCCTCTATACCTAATCCCAGAATTTGACTTTTAGGGAGTGACCAGGGAAAATACTGAAGAGTGCCTACTAGGGAAAAATCTGCAACAAGTGTACATACTAAAACAATTATGTGTGATTACAGTTGTGTCCAACCCAGGCTCAGGCTGAGTTTTGAAATGAGTTATGGGAACACTAGTTTTCAGAACATTGGGACTTTGGAAATGAGCACTGATATCCTTCCCCTAGAATAATCTTAGGAGCCATGTCTCTGCAACTCCATGGAAACATAGAAACTTTATCCACATTCTGGGGCTGGAGAGATGGCTCAGGAGTTAAGAGCAAGGCTGCTCTTGGAGAGGACCAACGTTCAGTTCCCAGCACCTACATGGTGACCAACAATTAACTCCAAATTCCAGGGGATCCAATGCCTCCTTTTGACAAAGGGCATTGCATGATATGTGTGCACTTACATACATGCAGGCAATATACTCAATAAAATTAAGGAAAAAAAAAAAAAAAACCACATTCTGGGACTGGAGAGATGGTTCAGCAGTTACGAACACTGGCTGTTCTTGCAGAAGACCCAGGTTCAAATCCCAGCACACACATGGCAGGTAACAACTGTCTGTAATTCCAGTTCCAAGGGGTCCAACAATCTCTTCTGTCCTCCTCGGGCACTACACAACATGGGTGCACTTACCTACATGCAGACAATACATGAATACACATAAAATAAAAATTAAAAAAAAACATTCTGAAGCTGAGTGAGGTGGCACATACCTTTAATCCCAGCACTCTGGGAGGCAGAGGCAGGCAGATTGCTGTGAGTTCAAGGCCAGCCTGGTCTACACAGTGAGTTCCAGGTCAGCTGTCTCAAAAAGACCAAAAAAAAAAAAAACCAAACAAAAAACCAAAACCAAAACCACATCCAGCCTTCTTTGTCTTCCTTCCCCCCAAAGAAAACTAGACAAAAAAGTCAGAATTGGATGTTATTCATATATTTGCATTGACTTAAATACAATACATACAATTTCTACAGTGCATTAGAAGAACAAAGGGGGCAGCAGTACTCTCATAAGCCCAGCCTCCACTCCTAGACAAGGGAGATAGGCCTAAGACTGGGAGAGGAACCGCTGTTCTAGAAGTACAACCCAGAAGCCTGCCCTGGCTCTCTGGGCTCCTGGTGCTCCCAAAGTCCACATTCAAGGCAACCTGAGTACAGGTTTCAAGGGAGAAAGGCAAGGAAGGACTCTTGGACCCTTGTCCACCAGGCCTGGCACTGGCTCCCTCTTACTTGGACCCAGTTTCCTCCTGATTGCAGAGCTGATGTGGAGCAAGACAGAGCACATGAGCTCTCTTCAGGTGCCTCTGGCTCTTCCCAGAACGCTAGTCTCTCCGACCTTGCCAACAGGATGGTATGAAGATGACTATGAAAAGTGACACACCTGGGCCCCTACGGGCTCCTATGGTCAGGAGGCAGTAATTCTCCCAAACATGGCTCTGAGGCCAGAATCCTGGTGAGCTGGATGGGATTGTCAGGTAAGGCAGTCAACAGTGCCTTTGTCCACAGGGCATGCATATCCAGTGCTCATTCTTGTCAGCTGGTTCAAAGCCTGTGACAAGCTGGCTCTTAAAGGGCTGGAATGGACAGGAAGCAGCCTGCCCCAGGTAGCGGGAGGGCTGTGTGCTTCTGCTCTGCCTCCTGGATGGTGATAGCTGGGTAGAGGAAACACACAGCTATGGTCCTCATTCCCCTTTCTTTGGTTTTTTCAAGCCTTCAAGACAAGTTCCTTCCAAGGCTTACTGACCAATCACAGGGTGCAAGAACCCTCAAGGGTTCATAGCGTAGGTGAGAATACTGCTGCCCCTCAGCCACAGGTGGCACCCTTTTTACTCCCTCCTGAGGCCAATTTGCTTTGGTGTAGAAAGGACTCAAACACCTGGCAAGGGGCACAGCTAGAGATGAGGACACATGGAAGCAAGAAGATGCATGTTGAGCTGGGCAGGCACTGAGGGAGTTTAAAGATCTCTCCTCAAAAATCCAATATCCTGGCCTCTCAACTGACTCACCCAAGAACGCTTGCAGAGAGCCACTCCAGAACCCAAATGAACTCCTCAGTCAAAAAGAGTTGGGAAAAATATTTAAAATAACAGAAACTAGGAGAGGACCAGGACTAAGAACCAGGAGCAAGGCTAGAATAGGTTCTCCCGCAAAACGCTTCCAGTTCTGGCATGCCCTGAGGCATGGGATTACCTTCACATGCTGCATATCCACTTTCTAGCAAAACAGAATGGCCAGGGATAACCTCCCGTGCTTCAGCTGAGTGTGAGGCAAGCTGCAGGAGGGCAGAGAGCAGTGAGCTCATGTATACAGCCTCTGGTAGATGTAGAGCAAAAGCCTGCTCACTGCCATAAGAAGTCAGTACCACACTCGGCAAAAGGAGGAAAGATTTGGCAAAAACAGAAAGGTGTGGCTTTGTCTCACCACGGTGAACCACCAATGACCCTCTGGCACAGCTTGATTCATGGGAGTAAGCAACTGCCAGGCATTAGAATGTCTGTCTAAAACAAACAGATCTGGATTAAGGACTTCTGACATGAAAGGAGCCAGATTTTGCTACAAGCATTTAAATTTATTTCTGTTGGTTTCTTTTTTTTCTTTTCTTTCTTTTTTTTTTTTTTTTTTTTTTTTTGAACCCAGGGCCTTGCGCTTCTTAGTTCTTTCTGATGCAGAATATAATAAGGAACTGCAATGGAGCAAGGTTGTCAGGGAGCTGAGACTTCCAACCTGCCACCAGGAGATGCTGGAAGAGAGTTGCTCCCCTGCAGGTGCCTGAACTCCCTGCCTGGACTCCAGTCTCCCCAACACTCTGAAGGGCCCAGGAACACTCTTGTCTCTGATTGTGCTGCTCCCTGTGGGTGGGAAAGCCCCGAGGGAGGTGGCAAGCAGAAAGGGAGGGCACTGAAAGGCGCTGCTGTGCACCAGCTTCTCTGGCTTCCCTGCACCTGGGTTCCCAGGCTTCCTCCCAGCCTGTCATCCACAGGATTTCTTCTGTGTGCCTCTAGGGCTACCACCATGAAAAGAAGGGCTTCCGACTCTGAAAGCTCTGTGTGTAGGACTCGCTGGAAGAACGCTGGTGGGAACGTGCTGTCTCCACAATCACGGGTGGCATCTGGACAAGGTGCAGGGGACTCTTGTTGTCTTTCAGGGCCTGAGACAGGTTTAGGATCTACAGTGAGAAAAGAAGTGTGGGAAAAAGGTCTTGGCATTCTCAAGTTGCCTCTTCAGGGGGAGGCCAGAAAAAGTCTTACAAATCAAAACAATAAATACCAATGGAAAAATCATACAAGTAGACTATATGCAAAATAGGAATAAAAATGGAAAGTTGAAACAACCTCTCTAGAAGGGCATAGCAAGAGGGTTGCCTGTGGCAATTTGGCAAGATCTTGCTTTTTTTTTTTTTTTC